TCAAATCTGTTAATAACAAAATCATCAAAAGTCAAAGCCACAAATGTGGAGAGCTGACTTTACTATAGTTTCTGCAGTGTAGTGTACACCAGGCCCAGTGAGATTTCATCTTTTTCTAAAGAGTTGTACTGAAACTGCTGTACTACTTACTCTTTTTAAGTAAGTGATTTCTTCTGCTTATATTATTTATTTATTGTTTGAAAGACAATGTCTTTTCCAAGGTCATCCACACTGACCAAATGGGTTTCCATAGTCTAATATTCAAACCATTGTTAATTAGTGATCTAGTTGTCACCCAAGTACTTCCAAGAACCAATAGATATGTTCACAAGGAAGACATTAATCATTTAGGCAGCTTCCAAAGTATTTTATCTTATGAATTAATTCTGGAATCATACAATATCAGAGTTCCTTCAGCTCTCATATATCACATAAGGTAACTCTTTTGGACTCCTTATCAAGACACCTTAGTATTTTGGAACTATGTCTGACATGTATGCCAGTTAAAAATAAGGGATGGTGAGCTTTTATATTTTTGTATTAATTTTTACACATACTCATCACCCATTTGACTAAGATAAACATTTTTGCTAAACCCAGAATATAAATTACATCTCAAATCGACTGTGAACCTGCTTTGCTTTTGATTTGTTATAGTTGGTAATCAGATCCAATTTACTATGACCAAGGGTCATCCTTTTTTCATCTCTATATATGTTGCTTTTGTTTTCTCTTGTCACATCATCAGAGAAACCAGAGGAACTTGGAACTGTGAGTTTCAGCCCACTATTCAGTGAGTTAGTTGGCTTGTAAATGAGATCTAGTTTGCTGTATCCATGAGCTGCTGTTTTTTCATCTTTCTGTATTTTGCTTACATCTTCTATTGGGTGAGTGGTATAAAGATACTTCTTGTTGCCTTTTGCTTCAATGTTCTCAGGCCGAAACTGCAGATCATACCCGTTTCTTGTATTGTCACCTAGTATTGGTGAAGATACTGAAAGAAAAGATGTTTTAAGTCTTGATAGATTAGATGCATTGTTGAATTGGTTCTTTAATTTAGGTGAAGTACTGCAGCTAGAATCTGATAACTCCCTGGGCTGGTATTTCATGTTACTAAGCCCCAGTAAGCCTGAAATGTTCTTATGTGCTTCATTTGGAGTTACTTCTTTCTTGTCACAGAGTACCTTGGATGTTGCCTGGTTTAAATATGGTGATCTCTTTACGCTCACCATGCTTAAATTGGAGAGGCTGCTTGCGGGACTTGTGGTTTCACTTTCAGTTTGTTGAACTCCCTTTAAAACTTGCTCACAGTTCTGAAAACGTCTGTGTGAAGAGGACATGGACCTTTCAGCGGTGGAGAGACTAAGCTGATTCACAGATCTGGATTCCGCATATATGCACCGAAACTCTCTGTCAAAATTTTCAACAATTTTCCCTCTGAAGTGTATTACCAGGCCTGTGTGGACCTGGCTGCAGAGCCAAGTAAAACTGAAAAAGAAAAGATTCAGAGGTAACATGAATCAGCAATGAATTATTATTCTAACTTCAAATATTGTTTGGAGTTTATCACATGGGATAGATCTCTTGCAGAAACTGAATTTAAACTGGAGAAAGCTCGCAAAAGCGGGTAGACTTTCAGATGATGTTGGGGGCTAACCCAAACAGAAAGTTGACAAAACCCGCAAAAGCGGGTTGATTTTCACACAACGTCAGGGTTAATGAGCATTAACGCGACATTAACCCAAACAGAAACTAGACAAAATCTGCTCCTTTTTACTTTCGGAAAATCCCCAAAGTAAAAATGAGTGGGCTTTGTTAACTTTCTGTTCGGGTTAATGTCGTGTTAATGCTTATTAACGTCAACGTGTCTGAAAATCAACCCACTTTTGCGTTTTCCCTCCGGATTTTTTTCCAGATTTTTAAATCCTGTTTCTGCATGGGATTTCTTCCCTTGTGTCTTAAAAAAACCCTATGGAAGTTGATTGGACAGGAATAGGAATTTATTTAGGTGCATGTGCTGTTGAGAAGTGGAACAATTTGAGGATCAGTATCTCAAGATGCATTCACACACATTA